ATTTTATTTTCTTTCTTTTCCTCTTATTTTTAATTTTTATTTTTAAAACTTTATTTTTTTCCATTCTTCAAATTCTTCCTTTTTTCTTTCTTTTTCCCACTGGGTCTCTTACCCCCCACATTGTTCATCTACCTTTTTGTTCCTGTTCCTGCCATAATTTAGATTTCTTTCTTTTTCTTTTCTTCTCTTTTTCTTTCTCACTTATTATTAATTTCAAAGGAAAGTGAGTACAATTCTCTATTACTGTTAAGTTGTTCTATTCTTGTCTTTGTTCTTGAACTGTCTTTCCCTCTTGTCTTCAACAGTTTCCTTGGGTTTGCATGATCATCCTGTGTCCACTGGCTTCACTTGAAACCTTCTCTTATCCTTCTACCTATTTCTCTCCTCCCAACTCCTTCTAAGTCCCCATCCTGAAGGGTAAAGTTGCTATACTGAAGAGCTTATTCACTATAAACATATTTTAGGCTGGTCCTCAATTTTGATTTAATTCACATAGTTCCACGTGATAGATTTATAACTAGCAAAAGCTGTCAATTTCTAAGCTGTGCTTGATGCTATTATATTGCTGATTGTATCACTTGGGCTAAGGTGTCATGATTGATCTAATCAGTTGTCCATCCTGGTATAATGAAAATGAGACTGCCTCAGTTATTAGAGACTCAAAAACCTAAAGACCAGTTATATCTGGAAGATCAAAGTATGAACCCAGAAATTAAACCAAGAACAGCACAAAAAAAAAGAGAGAGAGAGAGACAGAGAGAGAAAACTCTTAAGCAAGGCACAAATACAGACTTCCAGTTCACCAACTGCAAATTCTAGGGGAAAAGAGGTGGGAAAGTCTGACAATCAACTACCAGGACACCCTGAACTCATAGCACAGGAAGTAGCAAAATAGATCAATCAGGTTCTAGAAAAAATTCCAAACAGAAATAATTTCCCAGATAACTACAGAGATGGTAAGCACAACAAAAGACATGATTAGAGACTCTAGAACAGAAACAGACAAAAAAATAGATGAGTTCAGGACCATGATAGAAGCCATGAATGCCCAACAAAGGAAAGAAATGGAAACCATGAATGCCCATCAAAGGAAAGAAACACAATCTATAAAACAGATTCAAACAGATATCCAGGAGATTTAAAATGCTATAAAAAACATTCACAGCAGAATGAATGTGAAGATAAAATTTCAGATATAGAAAATAGCACTGTAGTCAATGACCATGAAAAAAGAGACCTCCTAAAAGCAGCAAGGGACATGAGAGATCAGTCCAACAACTCCTAGATGATGCAAAGAAGAATAAGACTGATAGAAATCTATGAAGTAGCAGGAGAAAGTACAACTGACTTAAAAAAAAGTTCACAGAATTAATGACAGAAAACTTCCCAAAGTGAAAGAATTTCACATACAGATAAGTGAGTCATATAGGACTCCAACAAGCCATGATCAAAAAAAAAAAAAAAAAAATTTACACCTAGACATATAATAGTCAAGATCCCAGAAACCCAACAGAAGAACAAGATACTGTAAGCAATTAGAGAAAAGAAACAAATCACTTGCAAAGGAAAGCCCATTAGAGTCACAGCAGACTTCTCAACAGAAACCCTCAGGTCAAGGGAAGCCTGGAGTGAGATATTTCAAACCTAAAAGAAAATAAACTCCAACCTAGATTGATGTATCTTCAAAACTCCCTTTTAAAATGGATGGGGAAATAAGATACTGACAGAGAATACCTGAGAAAGTTCATGAATACCAAGCTAGCACTCCAAACAATTCTAAACAATAACCTTAAAAAAGACAATGAAAGTCACAACACTATGAGGCCCAATAAATCAAATCAATTAGGCAAGGCAAGAAACGAAAGGGAGATGAAGAAAAATTAAAAAGAGCCAACAACAGGACAATGACATCACAATGATAAGTGAACGCATATCAATAAATGTAATTAAATGCCATCTATGAAAAACCAACAGCCAACATCATATTAAATGGCCCAAAACAAAAAGAGAAGACCTAGAATAGCAAAAGCAATTCTAGGCAACACAGACATGACAGGGGATATCACAATCTCCAACTTGAAAATATACCACAAAGCTACTGTGATTAAAAAAAAAAAAAACAGGATGGTACTGGCAAAGAAAAAGACCCAAGGATGGGGGAATAGATTGGAAGATACAGAAACAACTCCAGATGTACTCAGCTACCTCATCTTAGACAAAGGAGCCAACCATCCTCAGCGGAGGAAAAATAGCCCCTTTAATAAATGGTGTTGGGAAAACTGGATTTTAACCTGCCAAAGATTAACACTAGATCCTTATCTTTCACGATGCACTAAACTAAATATCTAAATATTAAAAAAGAAACACTAAACTAAACTTGCTGGAAGATAAGTTAGGCAGACTCTTGAAGACAATGGCATAGGAAAAACTATGAACAAATCCTCAGTAGCATGGGAACTAACACAAAGAATCAAGAGCTGGGATATCACCTTATTAAAAAGCTTCTGCACTGCAAGAGAAACCACCAACAGAGCTAAGAGACAACATATAATGTGGGAAAAAAAATTTTACCAGCTGCTCCTCAAAGGACTATTATCTAGAATATATAAAGAAATAAAAAAAATCAGGTGCCCCCCAAATCTAAAGACCCAATTCAAAAATGGGCATCTGAAATGAACAGACATTTCTCAGACAAAGTAAAAGCAGCAAATAAAAATATGAAAAAAATGTTCAATATCACTGGTCATTTGAGAGATGCCGATGAAAACACTGAGATTCCACCTCACCCCACAAAAAATGGCTGCTATCAAGAAATCACACAATAACAAATGTTGGCAGGGTTGTGGGGAGAAAGGAACCCTTCTCCATTGTTGGTAGAAGTGCAGACTGGTGCAACCACCATGGAAATCAACATGGAGTACCTCAAAAAACTAGGATTTAACCCAACCATCCCTCTGCTGGGTATCTTTCCAGAAGTATTAAAAGAATCACACCACAGGGATATATGTGCACCCATGTTTACAGAAGCACATTTTGTAATAGTTAAAACTTGGAAACAGTCCAATTGACCATCAACTGAAAAATGGATAAAGATGTGGTTTTTCTATAAAATGGAGTACTACTCAGCCATAAAGAATGAGAAACTAGAATCGTTCATGGGAAAAATGGATACATATTGAGGCGATACTCTTAAGTGATATAAATAGGACACACATGTGCAAATACTGAATTGTTTCTCTGGTGTGAAAAACTAAAAGTAAATAAAATCCAAATTGTACAACTGATGTGAATTAGGAAAAAAAGGGCTAAAGGTGTAGGGGAAGTGGGAAGGGTAGGGGAAAGGAAATAAAGGAAAAGAAAAAATATGAGAAAAGGAAAATACGTAAACAAAGTCTTTGGAAATAGAGGAGGCTGGAGGGGGCCAATGGAGAGCAGGGGTATGGGAAAAAAATGAGAACCAAGGTCTGTCATGTAAAGGTACAAGATTCCAATGATGAATTTAACTGTACTGTATACCTAAAAAGTACCAATAAACTCAACGAAAAAAATTAAAAAATAAATTGAGGGAGATTCCCAAGCACCTTAACTTTAGTAAAGAGTAGAATGGAAGGTGAGAATCTGGAAATTGATTCTCTTAAAATTCTTTTCTGACCTACTCCTTGGAAAGCTTCTGCTTACTTCCAGTGGAACACTGGTATACAAAAAAAAAAAAAAAAAAAAAAAAAAAAAAAAAAAAAAAAAAAAAAGGAATTTGGCCAAAGAAAGTATTTAGTTAACAGGATTTGTATCATTTGGAAAGGTATAATGCATGAGTGAGACTGACTCGGAAAAGAAAAAGTATTCAAGGCTGAGAGAGGAGGTAACAGAGAAAAAGAGACAGAAAAATTCTTGCTGGAGTTTGTGACATCAAATTTCTGATAGTCCCTAGCATTGGCAACTAGAACCAAGTGAAAAAGATATCTTCAGGCAACAGCCAAGATACTTACATCATTGGTATACTCTCATACAGGTTCCCTTCCCTAGTCCACAATGACTAGAAAGCACTATGCCCAGGCAAGTTTGCATACCTCCTTTTAACATCATGTCTATAAATCACACCACAACAAACTGCTGCAAAGCAGAAAACTGTACTAAGCAGAGTTGAAATTCTATTATGACCCGCACCCCATCCTCAAATTACAGCATTTGTCACACTGTAATCACAGCTGTTTGTTTATGTGCCAGTCTCTTCCCTCTCCCATTATAGACTATGCTTAGGCCTTGTTTCAGGACAGAAACATCTTGAGATTTTCAGCATATAGTATAGTGTAGGGCAATTAGTGCACAGTTAATAATGATCCAAGAAAAGAAGACCGAGTTGTTTATTACTATAGATACAAACTCCAACTGGACAGTTTGAATATCTGTCCACAGGGACATATTCAGAAAATACTTTAGATAGCCAGTGTACCTGTATCATGTTTTATTTCATAGAAGATTCTCTCTATAAGAATCTGGTAGAGTATTAAACATCTAATCCCCTTTTATATAAAATCCTCAGAGAAATGGCTACAAAACAGAAATGTACTATAGTTGAGACCAGGGACTAGAGAAAAGAGGTTAACTGGCTCTGTCTAGTACCAGTGACTCTGGATATGCATCTTCTCTGGCTTTTAGTTTCCTTCTGGGTAAAATAAAAGGCTTAAAATATAATCTTCAAAATTCAAATGCTAGAATTCTAAGGAATTTTATGACTGTTTCACTAATGAGCAACCAGGAAGTGGAAAGCATGTCACATACTGAGTATTCCTAACATTTTGGTAACTCTTTGCTAGAGAGCAAACTAAATCACCCTGTCAAAATAAATTCAGTGGTTCAATTCCATGAACAAATTTAAATAAACACTGAAAAAGAATCTTCTGTGAAACTAGGAACTTGATCTTACCATCATAATTTCAACTCCAGAAGCTAGCATTTTATCACATATTATAAACACTGAATAATTGAAAAGATAGGCTTACCTGCCAGGAAACTGCTCCCAAAATCGCTGTTGCAACAAGGCTAAAAAAAACTAATTGCTCTGAAATTAAACAAAAATGACGCATACCTTTGGATGCCATGATTCTATCAAGGCTATTGTTATCTGCCCTGTGGGCAAAATATACTTTATGGCAGTCATTTAATTTGGTATGGAATCCCCAAAGAGTTAAAAGAAAAATAATATGGCAAATCATCCAGAAAATTCCAAAAATGGAAAAGCCTGGTATTACAAAATACCAGAGATGAGTATCTCTAAGTTTAAATGCTGACAAAATAAAAAATGTAAGTTCAATCAGCCCACTGAAAACAACGGAAAGTCTTCTGCAAATTCTTCCACGGTACAAAAAGGGTTTCCATCTTTCTGTTACTGAAAGTCCACTAAAATAAATGTCAAGGAAAGGATCAGTTATTAGGCAAATAAAAAAACATGCAAAAGCAACTGGATTTTTCGGAGTTTCCAATGAGGAAAAAAATAACAATACTGCAAAAATAACCAAGTTTGGAATAGCAAGGAAAGACTTCATTCTCAGGTCAATAATCAGCATTGCCAAGGCTACAACAAGTAAAATGACACTCAGAGACTTCTCTACCAACATAGTTGTGCTGGCAATGGCAAATCCAACAAGTTCCAGAAATTCTACTGTGGTTAGTAAAGTGGGTCGATGACGGACATAACCAGAAATTCTCTCCACTAATGCACATAATATCCTTAATACTATGGAAGTGAGAAGCAAATATTTAGTTGATTCTTCTTTCACATCATTTTTAAAGGATGAATTATCAAGAAAACATAGAAGGCCAAGCAAGAATCCAAACCAAAGATTGGAGAGACTTAAACTTGCTGCTTCCATTGAAAAATAATAGTAGAGTATACTGGCAATTCCAAGAACAAAAAGACCAAGAATAAAAATGACCAAAATTAAGGAATTTGCTGTTTTTTCCCATCTTACATAAAGACCTAAACAAATAGCTACCAGTAAATTTATTCTGGCTAAATAGCCAAGGTATCGCACCGAAGAATGCATGTTTACTTCTCTATTTACTTCTTCCAGTCTTGTCATTGCTAGATAGAGACAATGACTAAAGCAATATCGCAGTGATTTACACATGTAATCTAGCAATTCAGGCTTTCTCCTCACGTTACAAAAATTAACTTCTTGTATTTCATCCAACAAATCCAATGTATAGGTAACTCCTATTCCAATATTTTCTCAGGTAGAAATTTTGTTTACAGTGATCTAAAAAGAAGAAAAAAAAATCCAGTGTTAACTTTACTTAACATTTCATGCTGTCTTTTAAAATACAAAATATTTAAGTGAAAAATAAAGGTTCTTCTGAAATCATTTAAAATCTGATTTGCATTTATCTTAATGTAACTGTTTCTAGCATAAAAATTCTATAGTTTATTCAAAGGAAAATGGTTGTACTTTCTACTCATCTTACTAAAACTGCATGACTAAATCACCATCAATGGGATCATCCTTCCAGAGATAAACAAGTTTGATTAATCCATTCTTATTCCAGTGTTCCGCTGAGGTTAGATTATAGCCATGGTTTTGGCACATAGGAAGATCACTAAACTCTTAAACAGAATGAACTACTTCATCATTACTTCTAGCAACAACCCTTACACCCCACACCTAAATCCTCTACATCTTTATACAAGGTAGCTCTAAAAATGCTGTAAAATCTAAGATTTTAAATTGCTTAACTAATAAACTTACTTAGAAGTGAAATTTAAGTTAATCCCTAAAAATAGCTATAAATTCTCCTTAACTTTTACCTCTAAATTATTCTGATAATGAAAACTTGTTTTCCAAATCTAAATATAACTGTAGCAAGTCAAAATTTTAAAAACTGAAATGATGATCAACAGTCACTGTTAAGTAAATGAAAGTATTTTTCTATTCTATTTTTTTAAAGGTATTACAAAGATTATTTGTTAGAAGACCCAAAAATTATTTCAAATATAAAGGCCCCCACAAATTGCAGCTAAAATGTGACAGTGGTAAAAAAAATGCTTCAACCATTAACTAGATAATTACTCAAAATTTTCTAGTATACAGCTTCCAAAGAATTTTATCCTTGCAGTGGCTTATGGTCATACAATATTGAAGCAGAATTCAAATATTCGAAGAGTAGTTTGTGGTCTGGGGATGTAGTTCAATGAATGGTAGAGTGCTTACCTAACAGGTGCTCTAGCACAGCACAAACAAAAAATAAACAACACTAGTTTATCATCAGTTTATAGTTTCTTAACAGCAGTACAAAGACTCATTAGGTACATGAGATAACCTGGAATTAACTTATTAAGTACCAATTTGGTTGAAGAAGAATATTACTGAAAAAAAACCCTCAGTTTCTCTGGGAGGTTCCAAGCATTATTAGTGATTCTACTTAGTAATAAGAATTACAACTAGTTTCCTTCAACTACATTTTCAATCATTTCTTAAAATAAGACACAATACTGATGAGAATTACTCTGTAGTAATTTTGGTTTATCTTTTTGAGTGTGAGAAACTAAAAAATCTGGAACACCCTGAATTGTGGTGGTTTTTTTTAATATGAAAATCTTGTGTGTTCCAGAGTCACTCACCAAATAGGTTAAGATACACATCATCAAAAGGCTGAGATAAACACTACTGGAGAAAAATCATTACACTCTAAATTCATGAGACATCCTTCTATGTTTCCCTGATCAACATCTTTCTCTGTATTCAAGTCTCGCTTCCTTCTCCTAACATTTCTGATACCTACTTCCCATAACATTTTTAACACAAGTTTGCCTCCATCAGAGTCATCAGACGGAAACTCACCTGTGTTCCCAATACCACAAAATTACTTTTAACTACATCTCTGTATAAATGGAAAGATGACTGTACCTTTCTTAAGGCTAAATCATTCATCCATACTATGTACCTCTCCCTCTCTTTCTCTTTCAGAATATCACTCTCCTCCTTTTGCAAACTTTCACTTAAATACCTATAAGCCTATTTTTAAAGTAATACAAGGACAAAAAGAGTCTCAAAAATCAAAAACAGTCCTTGTTCCTCCCCATGTCTTCTTCCAAGTCCAATCACCTTTCCCCCTTCTTGAGTGCCAGTATCATTTCTCATCCATTCACTTTTCAAGATACTGAATAGTTCCTACCACACAACTGTTCTACCAAATTCTGAAATGACCTATAGATTCCTAAATACAGAGGAATTTTTTTAACTCAGTGTCCTGTGCATACTTTAAACAACCTTTAACACTGATAAGTACACTCATCTGAAACTTCCTCTTCCTTTGAGTTCCATAGATCAAGTCTCTAGATTTCTTTCCTAAGTCATGGGTGTCTCTTTAAAAGCACTCCATTAACTCAACCTTTGACTACTCAACCCCAAACCTAGGCTCTTCTCTTACTACACACTTTCTTTGAGTAATCTCAATTATTTCCAAATCTTCAATTATATAACACATCCATATCATAGAATATATGCAGCCACCTTCATATGGACCAATACAAGTAATTATTTTTAAATGGCTAATTTACAAAATTCTTCTTCAAAAGACAAATAGCCTGAATTAGAAAAAAAAAAAAAAAAAAGTCTCATGGTACTACCCCCTTGGTCTGCCAGCACCAACAATTTAAAGGAAAATTACACCTATGCAGATAAAAACAAAGCACAGTTCTGGGATTTTTTTTCTATTAAAAAAATTGATAGGGACTAGTTTTGATCAGTTGTATAGATACCAATGTCAATGTATGGGAAACTTTTCCTAAAATTTGTTCAGATGTTATTTTGATCCATCTTCTGTGGCATTTGGTGCGATAAACCTTTAGAATTTATCTTGGGGAAAAAAAGCACAGAAAGCCAATCAGTACATAGGAAAGTTAATTAATCACTACTACAATTTAATTATTTTATAAAACTTCTTTGGCTAGATATGTGGTAGCCCTGGTTTGAGTCCTTCCAACACAAAGACAAACAAACCCATATATTACTCTTTTCTTCTTCACTATCTCCCATTTAACCCTCAACAGGTCCTATCTATATTCTTCCTAACTATCTTAGATATTTCTTTTCATTCCTGTCACCATTCCAGTTTTGCCCACCATCATCTCATGCTTGAATGCCCCTCTTTATGCACTCCAGCTCTCCTGAAAGAAGTGCTCGATTTAAAACCAAAACGTATCAAATCACTTAGCTATACCAAACTCTCCAGAGGCTTCCCATAAGCTTTAGCAACAAAGTCTAAACTCCTTACAAGGCCTTATTAAGCACTCTTACACTGGACCAGAATAACTCTCCCGTACAGTCAATTATAACTCTTTCTCTGAAACTTTATTTTCCAGACATACTGACATTTCAATGCTGCACCGCAAAAATATTATTCCCTAAGAACATTGCTTTCTCTCCTCCTGTACATACTTGTCCTTACACCTGGCTTACCCTTACTCTTCAGGTCTTTGCTTAAATCATTTTAAGACCATCACCCGTGACCCCCCAATATGATTCTTATACTTTTTCTATAATAAAAAAAAGTATTCATCATCGGTTTGACTTCAATAATGTATGCCCTCTGTCTAGTAGGTCTGGCATCAAGCTGTTACTCAACAACTTGTTGAAATAATAAAGTCTAAAATGAAATAACTATAACAGTAATGGTAATCAGTTATCGAACACTTAATAAAGCACAAAGAAAATAATGTCTAATATCCCACTGCTGTTAAGTAATAATACAGCGAAAGGACATTCCATGAATTTTTGGATTGTTTCTCTTCTGACCTCACTCCAGCTTTTCACTTAATTCACTCATTTTCCTCCAAACTAGTAAATTCTCTCTTCCTGTCCTATTTCTGGGGAATGGCTTCAAGACACTATCACTTGTATCACCTTTCACTTGGAAACTTTCCATCTAGAAGTGTCAAAAGCATAAAAGAACCAGACTGAGAAGCCAGTGTGGAGGAATGTCAATCTTTCGGTTCTCTAAATTCAGGATAGCACTTGACTCATCTCATCAGAGAATGGCACTTCGAATATTAAATTCTTTGGTGACGAGCAGCAGTTCCTATTCAGCCTCCTAGTAGGAGGTGGGGAGGTCGGAGCAGGAGCCAGGCTTTGCTCCCCACCGCTTAACAACCGGAGAAGGCGACAGGCACGTCTCGCCCAGTTGAAGCGGGAGCCGTGAGGTAAAAGATACCACACCCGCGGCCCGCCACCCTCACCAGCTCCAAGGGTTGATATCCTTACCCCCGCCCCGGGATGCCGGCGGGCGGAGCTTGCGGCCAGGACCTCGCGGGGCCCTGGGCGGCGCTTGAATCGGAAAAGCCCTTAAGGCTCAAGGGAGTGCC